TCATGGAATAAAAATAAATTATATTTTGCCACTGCAATTATTCATGCAGAAGCAATTGTTCCACATAGCTTGAGGATACAAGAACAACGTTTCCCAACAGGACTCAACTTTCATTTGAGCTCCCTCATTGCTACCATAAAACAAGCTAATATAGTAGCAATTATACAGTGTATATTTTAATAGCAGTATATTCCCTGCCTTCTGCAACAGGCATGCAATGCTAAAAAAGTATAATTTTGTACTGGTGCATGTAGAAGATCTTCATTCTAGTTTAGAATTAAATAACAGCTAATTTCATAAAACTATTTATATTTTTAACTTAGCTTGCTGAAGCAGCAAAAATTGTCGGCAATATAAAGCACTATGTTGGCCCAGAAAGTCTCTCACAATATGTAGCATTTACGAATCACCAGGTAGCATTATCAGTTATATGTCTTTTTATGGTCACTAAAAACATATTTTAAAAAAAACTTAAACAAATTTCCATTTAAAGTCTTGCAATTTAGCCAAAGCTATCCCAGGACACCACTCCACTCAACAGTCGAAGCACAGGCTTGCTTAACTTCTGTATGTCCTTGGAAACCTGTTCATCAATGGCAGCTACCCCAGCCTTCCCCTTCATAGACTAAGCAAAACCACATTGTTTAACGTGAAGTAGCTTTGGAAGGGAAGAAAGAGCTCTCTCATAACTGCCAAGGTGATTCCCTAAAATACAGCACTGAACATGATACAGCAAATTTTGAGAAAAACATACTACTAAATTGATGACACAATGAAAGTGCTGTACTATCAGCCGGAGAAAACCTCTTTGCATAAACACCCTCACAGTGGACTGTTGTTCTCTACTCAAAGACCACTTTACTATATTTCCCAATACTTTTACTTGCTGTCTTATACAAGTGTGCTATATTGTGGGATTCGACAAGGCTGTCCATGTAAAAAAATAAATAAATGACACAACTACTTACTAAAAGTTGAAATTTACAGAAAAAAAACATTAAAGTTAAAAAAGGGAAAACCTCAATAGTCTACTTTCAACTTCATACAGATTATTTCGCTACAGAAATTTTGTGAATTATTGAAGTTGATGTCAGTCATAACTTTGAAACTACTTTGGAGGTCAGAGAGACCTGAATCCATACATAGCATATGAACAAACTCCATTTCAGTACACCTTAACACTTAGTCCAATGCATAGGAAAGTATGAAGCATGTACTAGAAACCTGCAACACACTGAGTTTCTGTGGACATTATGTTGAATTTAAGAAACTAAAATAAAATACGAAAAGAAAAAAAGTCTATTTCAGAGGTTGGAAGAGTCCAGTATACAGGCTGATACCTGTCCAGTCATGCTCATTTCAGCCATCTAGTTTTAATCAGTTGATTTAAATCAAGTTTATGCTTATACAAATCATCTGAACATGCATGTAAATTACCGCAGCTTTGTTATCTGCTGTCATCTAGTTACCACTCTCAGCAGAATATTAAATTTTGCTTTTACAGAGCTGACCAAAAAGAAAGGTTTGAACCCTAAAAATAAATGCCTACTTACCTACATGAAGTATGCAAAACTCTCAAAAACCAGCAGGTAAATAAAGTAACAGAGCTAAATTTTGACTAAAAAGCCTAAGAGTTTCAAAGATCTGAAGTCATCTTGGAGACAAACATCAGAGACTGATGCGTGTGAGGCACCACTTTACAGCTGCTGTCACACAGATATCATATTATCATGTATCATTTTATTAGCAGTCCCAGACTGGTCCACTGACTACTTGAAATGGGTTGCAGCCGAGTAACACAGCGTATACTACAGCTTGGACATACTTCCTACATGAAGACATCCTACCCAGAGGCTGCAGTACAGAAGCTCCTGAAGAGAAATTCTTCAGTGCTGAAGGTAAATTCTTCATTGTTATGGTGGTGAGACACTGGAATAGGTTGCCCAGAGAAGCTGTGGATGCCCCATCCCTGGAGACTGGATGGGACTTTGAGCAACCTGGTCTAGTGGGAGGTGTCCCTGCCCATGGCAGGGGGGTTAGAACTCATGATCTTTAAGGTCCCTTTCCATTCTATGATTCTATGAAACTGGGAGTATTTGATCCCAACACTACAGCCTGTTTTGGCAACATACTGCTGCTAGAAATACTGTTTCTAGATGTCAACTGCAATCTTGTCACAATATGATCACCTGAGTAAAGCATTTTAGAGAGCTTTTTTGTGCTGAAATGTAAGGAACTGTAACAAAACATCCTCAAATACAGGTCTTTTAATCCATTTTCAGTGTGTTCCACAATTGAAATATTCCACCTTTGGGGCCTATCAAGTTGTGTACTGTTAGAATATATACATACAAAACACTGCAAATTACTCCAGTCTCCTTTTTCTTAGATGACTTGCTCATGGAGTTATATAAAATCATCACACACTGTTTTGCTGCTGTTCTTCTAAGACACCTCAGCTCTCCCATGAACAATTCCAAAGTGGAAAAACTTTTCATCACACATCTGTACCTCTCTGTATTTTTCACTACAGCTTCAGCAACACATCTTCCGAGAAAACAGAAGCGATTGTTGAAGAGATTGTGGCTCAGCAGCACAGCAAGAACTTTAATAATGACTTTGAATTGCTTAAGTCTTTCACTAGATTGATGAACTTTCTGCAGCCCAGCTGCAGCAAGCTGGCAGTAATAAATTCTCCATACACTGCAAACTAAGTATCTGACTATCTCATGTTCGTTCCTAAGCATGTGAAAGCTGGAGGCAAAGCCTGACATTTGACAACTCAGTACTTGCTTCTTTCCTCATGTCCTCTAACAAAGGTACCAGTGTAAGGCCAAACAAGAATAGAACTCCCTGGAGATTCCTGCTGTGAGACACGTCATAGGATTTCTTCAAGAAATTTCAAAACAATAGCTTAAGGGCAAGTTTTTCCATTAGAAATCAAGTTATTTTGAAAGCGTCAATATTTATAATAATGGCCACAGTACAACAGATGAATTGAATTACTGAGTTTTTCAAGCCAAATGTACAATACTTGGAGTTCAAAATACTTGACAAAATTTCACGTTTACTGTTTGCAAAGACAAACAAAACCCAAAAGTTTTTTTTCCAGTTATATCAAGCAAATATATCTTTATGTTAATTTTATGTGGACTTTATGGCACATAAATACAACTGCAACAGGACATACAAGTTTGAATTTTTTGTGAATAGTTAACCTAAGTAAGACCATAATTCTGACTGTAATACCCATATCTTCTCTTTGTCATATTCCCTCGCTGAATTCTTCAAAGTTTCTTTAGAAGATTTCAACAGCTTTATACTGCTATCAGAATAACACTATTCTAATGCTACTAATAATATAAAAGTACTTCAGAGTTATACCTGGATGAAATGAAAGGAATGTTGTGTTCCTTTTCCACTTACACATCTTGCTGTCACCAGGGATTTATCTGTGTCTGGTAATTACAGCATAATGATAACCATAACCATCAAATGGCAGCTTTTCTCTTACCCAGTGACTACTTACCAATTTCAAAATCATCTGTCTTGTACTACTGAAAATTTTTAGCTTTCTGAAACAGGTTTCGTGAATCGCTTCTCCACCAAAACAAGCAGTGTATTTATACATCTTGTATTTCAGTTACTGAACATTTCATAATATGCATACAGGTTTTAGAAACTTGTCCTACTAAAACAAGAAACAACAGGATTCCTGCCTATCGTAACAGCCAATCCAGTTCATAGCAACAACAGCATTAATTGTACAAACTTAAACGGTAGGAGAAATTTTGTGACAATTATAAACAAGCTTCATGGAAGAAAAGAGAGGGGCTTGGCTTTTAACAAAAGCAAAAGAACAAGACATTTAAAATCTTCAGTGAGAACTTTTTGTATGGACAATGTAGAACATAGAATTTGTGAACGTGGGCTTTGATTAGAGAAAAAGGATTCTTCCTTGCACACTACTGATATGAACAGCCACAAGTTCATCACTGACCTAAATAAGGTTCATTATGGATCCCTAAACAAGGATGGTTTTAAATACGTGTTGAATGACTGGAGACCTACTTCTTACTAGAACAGTTGTTTTTCTCAAAGCCATAAGTGAAACCCAATGCACATACTATTTGTACATGCACAGAGCATGTGACATCATATGTTGTATTTATTGCTCTACTTATGATTCAAATTATTTGATACAAAGATGCAAGAAGATGCTATACCTGAATTACCTCAGTATTTTTTAAATACACTTTTAATCCTTCAATATGGCACACAAACACAAAATAACACAACACCTGTGCCTTCACAGAGATTGCATCAGAAATTAATACTGGCATTATTTGGAAATTTGCATTTTTGAAACACAAGCAAAATTTAAATATAAAGAACAAATATTAAGGTACAATAAAGCTGTCATAGCTACCAGATATACAAAAGTTTTAGGCAGATAACAGTACTGCAGGAAAAACTTTCGGTATTTGGTTGGATCCATGTGAGATTACAAATATTCTTAAAAGCTGATAAGGTTTGTATGGCTCTCAAACATCCCAGAACTCCTCCAGGAAATCCATTACCAGAAAAAGCAATGTATCCTTAAACAGGGTTTCAAGAACCCTAGGGAAGTTAATGAAATTTAATTTTATTTTTTGAGTGAAAAAAAAATATCATCTTCACTTTAAGAAAGCAGAGACAGAGTAAAATGACCAAAAATTACAGTTTCCCCATCATCACACCAAAATGCTTACATGGAACTTCATTTGAGCAAGCCAAAAACCAAAATTAAATACTCCTTATGGTAGGTCTACATTTTGTAAACAGTGCAGTGGCGCAAAACATAATGAAAGTATGGCTTTCTATGGCAAAGGCAGCACCACACACAGTTACAGACTATTAAAAACGTCAATTACTGCAATTAAGAGCCATACTGCATCATGATCAATAAGATCTGGTACACTTCAGAGGATGACTTTTATTGTAGGGATAAAACTCCTTACCTTGAAAAGACTGCTTGGCTCTGTCCACTAGTTCTTCAATGGGATAACTTGCTAGATCTCCTCTGGCATGCTTAGTTTTGCAGTAGGTACATGCATTGAGACACCTGTTTAGAAAACAAATGTACTCAATTTCTAGCCACAAAAGTCTTCATATGCACAGCTATATATTTTAAGTACATCTGGAAAAATGAGCTTTTATATTCACAACCAGAAAAAAGTCGTATCCTGTTTTAAATATAATAAAGTAGTGTGGAAAGTGTTTTGTCTTCCTACCTTCTTAAAGTACCTTTCACATCTATATAAAAAGTTGAAAAAATGATCAGTGGAAAACACATACAAAAGCCAGGAGTAAGAATTTACATATTTTTAGAAAGCTGTAATAGGGTTAGTAGTTGTTCATTATTGAAGATGAGTCTCCAAGCTTCCAATCCCAGTATTACATAAAAAATCCAACCTGAACAAGGAAATAAAGAAAAAAAGTCCTGAAAGACTAAAAGCAGATTTTAAAAATAGTGTGTATTCTTGAAAACACATTTGACTTAATTATTCCTTCTTTCATTTGGCTTGTATAAACAAAACAAATAAGATAATGAGGACAGAATCACCAACTAGAAAAACAGCTTGGCACAAAAGATTGGGAAGCTCATGAAAAACTCCTGTAAGAAAGAGAAGAAATTATGAGAATGCTTTTCATTTACCTGACAATGTAGCAAAGGCAGACTAATTCAAAGTAAGAGGATGAAAAAACCAAAACAAACAAAATCTCTCAACTCGTATGTTTTCCATGGATTAGCATTTGAATCTTGGTAGTGCCATGAATATATTATGCAGAATGTTTAAAGGAGTTTGTTGAAAATTTTTTCCCTCCCCCCTTTTTATGCCAATACGGCCCTACAGCCTTCTATATGTTAAAGCGTGTAAAACTCTAAAACACCTATAAAACCAAAAAAAGCCAATTCTAAATATTCTTGAAAATAAGACCTGGGCTACCTGAAAAAAATATAGGAAGAGTAGTTTTTCTCTGGTACTGCAATAAACTCGGTCACAAAGAGAGAATGGAAAGATGCAGCAAGAAGCGGGAAGAAAGAATGGTAAACTATTCCCCAAATATTCACATTATTATGTGGGATTGTTTCTAAGAGCTTTATTACTATGGTCTTTAAGTACAACTTCAGGGGGCCTGTTGATTTATTTTGGTCGATGAGCTGAAAGCTGGGATTTGATGGCAGACTTTTTTTTTTTTCAAGTTTTGCTGCGCCAATTAACTTACTTCTACTATAAAATAAAAACGTTGTGGAATGTCTAAATAATTAGGTTTTGGGGGTTTTTTTTGGTAGTTAAAGCGATTATATAACAAAACCAAAATAAGACAGATTTGAATGTAACATAGAAAAAGACTGATTTTTAGAAAGCAAACCAAAAAGGACAAAACTTTTAAATCCTTTTTGTACTTTATCTGTTAATTCCAACTTGTGGAAAAAAAAAAAATATCTTTTGGGCTACAGCTGACCAACAAAAGGATGCAGATTCCAAATACTTGTAGAAAAGCTGAACTAATCACTTTCCAGAGATTTCAGAATTATCTGTTCTTGAAAATATAAATTTAAACCAAACCATAAGTATAATAAAGCATCTGTAGCTGTTTGGGTTTTTTTTCCCCCTAGTAAGGCAGCTTCTACTCCAAGTTTCCAGCATAACAAATTATTCATATGCCCATGCTGTCACATACTCAGACCACAGACAAGTGGAAAAAGGCTGTTGGGAACTCCGAGAATCTGAGCATTGCCTCTTGCTAAGTGGCATTCACCAGCAAGTGGATCATCTAAAACCAGCACAGTAGGTAAAGCCCTCCTTAAAAATCAGTCTTTATCACAACTAAAGCTCAAATATATAGGACTAAAGAGCCAACATGCTAACTAAATTCCAAGAGAGAACTTTGCTTTGTGTTAAACTGGAAGCCTTCTTCAAGCATTTCAGGTTTGTTTGTAAATGTTAGTTTGTATTAATATAGGTCAAAGCTTTTTTGCACAAAGAAATTACAGACATTTATAGAAACGATTATTAATGTTCACTGTGCTTGTAATTACCAACATGTTTTGGATAAATTTTGCAGTGAGTCCAGAACAAGAAACATTAAGTCCTGGCTTTCCAACATACTTAACTGATTAAGGTACTTTGAATTATTAACCTATTGCTTTGAATTATTAACCTTTAATCAGCTACTCACCCAATACACAGAACTATTCCACAGCAAGGTAAAATATTATCCACAGATAAATTACTACCATGTGGCTAATTAAAAACTTTTTGAACATGTTACCGAAGTGAACGTCATCAACATTTTGGTTGCCTGAAATTTTGCTGTAGACACAGGAACCAGTGGTCTTCACATTGTTTAGCTCATGTGTGCTCATGTTGTGCATTAGACCAAGCAGACAGTTCATTTTCAAAACAGTAACACACTTAACATAAAAGGCTGCCCCTTACAGATGGAACTAATTATGAGTAAGAATACTTATGACACAGCAGACAAATAAAGACTTTCCTTCAGTGGGACTAATCAGTGTATTTCAGCAGCAGATGAGAATGAGAACGCAGATGTGAGGAGCAAAATCCTGGTTCCTCTTAATGGGACTTTTGCCACTTAGTTTAGTGAAGACAGGATTCTACCCTCAGATATGAAAAGTATAAAACATCTTTCATTCAAGCATCAGAAAACAGTTCAATTACAGACTGTGATGTGCCATTAGTGTGCTAGTCATTCACATTTAATGGGATTGACCAAGACCAGACATCTGCGAGCAAGATGGGAACGCTGAAGAGCTGCAACAGCGTCATATGACAGAAGATTCCTGCTGCTCTGCAGGTGGTTAATTTTGGAGCAGGGGGGTGGTAATGCTCCTTAATTTCCTGAACAATCCAGTAAATTCTTGCTTGGTATCAACTTAATGAGCTGGTAAAAAATCTCAACAAAAACAAAAACAAAAGCCTGCAACCAAACCCAGTTCTAAGGTGGTCTTCTCCCAAATTAGAAATTTGCAGAAATGAATTAAAATATCAAACACAATTCAATCTAAAGACTAATATCTGCCCTTATGAGATCTGCCTAATTATACAAATTTAAGATTTTAGGAAGATTGTCCTATTAAAAAAAAATAAATTCTGCCAGTAGTGCAGTGCCCCTAACATCACTGGAACTTCACACCAGTACAAATATAGAAAGATTGCTCATCGCAGTCACCCACGTCATCTCTCTGCACCTTCCATCAGACTTCCTTCGAAGGCCTCAATAATTCCAGCCCAAGAATATTTTGTATTAGTAAACTGTGGTTTTCCTGAAAGGGGAGCATAATTTGCTTGTTTCAAAATACAGTTTACAGCAGAGATTTAGGATTTTGTAAAATGTTTTCAGAGTTCCTCTCAAATGTAATTTTGAAAAAAATGCTCTGTAGTGTAAGGAGAAAAAAATACCAGAAATACATACTCCCAGCAGATGAAAACTAGTCACAACTTACTAAATAAGAGCTAGTAAAACTCTACAAATATTTTCCTCCTTAGGATACAAAGCTTTGTAAACCTAGCAACAGCATTTATACTATATTTACAGTTAAATATCATACTATATTTATAGAGTTAAATGCCATGGATATTTCTTAATATTTTACCTCTATAAATACTACTTTGCTCTTATAATATTTCTATATTCCATCAAACTTAACTCTAATGGATCAGGAAAAATAGTAGTTTACAGAAAAAAAGCCCATGACTAATATGCCTGATTTGTTTTCAGGAAACTGTTTTTTTACATATTTTACAATACAGCTTTTCAACCCACTATGACAGGGAAGATAATTTCCTGTAAAAATCTGGGGCAGGGGAGGTTGTTTTCACTTTAAAAAGATTCAGGATTTAAAACACTTTTGAAACAGTGGCAAGCTATTTCTCATCAAAGCTAATTACTCTAAGCAGCAAACCACATTATTACAGAAATACTGTTCCTAGCATCCCGGCTATTTAGACTGAGCTTGGACACCAGCCACAGGGGCCATGCTACATAGATGCACTCTATGTTACAACATTTTCTATATGATAAAAACACAACTCTTTTGTAGCCAACTATTTTAGAAACTGCTCTGAAAGTACAACACCAACTTGAAAAATCCTCTCAAAGTTCTAGCAGAAAATAGGATGACCCTTCAAAAAACACTGTACAGTGTATGGGACTGCACACATTCTCAAAGCAGGATGCAACTACGGGATGCTATTTTTAACCCTTTCCATGCTCAGCAAAATGGAGAAAAAAAAGTGCATTATAACTTTGTTCTTCTGAAGACCTCAGAAGCCAGTGTTTTATTTGGTAATGTCTCACTAGCTACTAATCGAAAGGAATTTGGAGAGAAGGCAGCTCAGTCAGTTTGATAAGCTCTAATATGATTTAATTTCGTACTTTAAATATTTGCATTTTTTGAAACTGAATTCCTACAGTCAAGTGCAGGTGACTCAAAGGTCACAGCTATGTAGTTACACCATTATACATTCAACTTGCTCACTTTAAGGCCAATGATTTAACATCAGTAAAATCAAGTGCATTCAGTGGCACTTTTTAGTGTTTGTTTAAAGAACTTTTTGATTCATTATTCTGCCTACACAGTTCTGCAATTGTTTGCATTAATTCATTCAGGCATTCTAAATGGATATTACAAGGTAAAACTTTCCATTGGTAAGTTGCATAGATCTGTGCTCCCCACCATGACCCAAAATGGTGTATTGCTAGATGCTTACTGGAAATAGCAATGATTTTTTTTCTCTGCAACTCAAGTTAAAGCTCTACGATTCAGAGAGATATAAATTATTTTAGAAGCATTTCCAAATACCTGCTTGGCTACACAGACCACAACTTTGGGGGCATATCATGACAGTCATTAATGCCAAGAAAGTGACTCAGCTGAAACAACACAGGTAGATAAATTAGGTTCTGTGGTTGCAGAGAGCAGAAAATGCCACAGCATTCTGACTACAGGTAATCAGTTCTTTCAACACTTCATAAAGAGCAACAATATTTGGAAGACGATGCCTCCTGGTCTCAGTCAAATAGCAGTAATGA